CTTCCTTTGGAAGATGTAGTCAAGTAGTGGAAATAAACTGAAACATCTAAGCGGCAAATGCTGAAATGATAACATCACCTTACTTGTAAGTAAAGACGAATTGTCGGGCAGCTTACTGAAAACAATAAAAGCAAAAAAGGCACCAGTAGGAGTAAACCTTACGAGGTGAAGTTCTTACCTTTCCTAAGCGTACGCATCAACTATTAGTAAAGACGACCCTTTGACCGTTTGAAGTCCCAACGACAATTCGAGTGATTACAGGAAGTAAAAAATGCCTACAGTCAGTGACTTCCAATTCTAGTATTGCCTCTAATGTTGTTCATGTTAACTATTCCAATCGGCAATGTGGAACATCCCACGCTTAGTCTGGCAATTATATGATTGACTTCGACGCTGGTATGCTCCTGGTTTCCATCATAAAATTACAGAGAGAAGTTTATTCCAACGTTAGAAGTTGAAAGGTCATAGGTGAAGTCTGAATAGCCAACTAACGGTTGTGGGACAAAAGGGGAAAATTAGTCCAACGTCTTAGGTCCAATAAAATCTTCATAATAAGACAATTTTGTCCTTTCGCACACCACTCACCTTCCATACAATTCCTGTTCTAGCACATTCACAAAGTATCTTGAATGGCTATCGTGAGAAGGTGCAGAACATGTCATGCCAAAGTACCGCAGCAGTGGCATGGCCTCAGCCTAACCAAAATCAAAAAATGATCATGGCCGAGCACCACCGACTACGCCGAGAATCATGCATCATGACGGGCGCCATACCGCATAGCTGCTGCAAGCAAAGTCTTTTCCAGATTAGCTTCATTTACCATCTTATTCTAGTTCTGCATCGAAATACTGGCAAATGATTGTAGGGTCTCTGTCTTTCCTAAAGTAATAACGTCATAGGCGCATAATAAAAGGCGCACTACTGAGACGGGTAGCTTGACAAGGGGTCACTGCCACAAAATCAAATGCTTCCAAAATCTATTGCAGAATCAGGGGAGACAGTAGCAATTGACAGACCTTTGTTTGGCAAAAGAGAATGCCTTATCCAGTGCATGTGAAACACTTAGTCCAGAGGCTACCTATGCTCAAGAAGTGGTACAAAACATTAAAATTAAGAAGCTAATATTTATATTTCCGATGTAAACATAGACTCAAGGTACAAGCTGTACAGATAGCATAATGCATATGACAAGCATGAATGTATGCTTGCGTCCTTAAATCTTAGCTACAAGATTTATGCATTCGTCGAAAGTCTTACTTCCACCACGGGTGCCTATCGGAGTACTCAGAGCATGGCACTGTGTTGTAAAAAGGCCATACCCAAATGCGAGGTCAATGATGATCATGAAGGATAGTTTGAAGACTGTATACATGGCTGAAGGAGCTGCTCTGAAGCCACCCTTTGACATTTAATTAACTAAATAATAGCCAAGGCTTGGAAGCATAGCCTTTTAAAGTTATGAGCATAGAGTTCCTCGTGTACTGTTTTTGGATTCTGTTAACGCTATTTTGTACTTTGTCGAATTAACAGGAGCTTATCCGATGAAACCACTGAAGCCTAATATGGATCAAGAGAAGTGCGAAAGCGTTAGATGGTCGACAATTTCATTTGATATTTTATAGCTGGAGGATTCGTCTTACAAGGCTCTTTGATTGCAAGTCCGCATTCATTACCTTAAAAGGAAGGGGTGTACGCCTTTCTTGGATTTTATCATCCTTCGTGCGTTCATATGTGTTGTCTGGTGGTCGGTCGTGCAAAAGTGTTTGATCTTCTCTCTTCACATGGAGCGATCTGCAGAGAAGATGCAAGTAAATCAAGGAAGTTATGTTATCTTGCGCACTATGCCAAGAAAAGTACCATGCATAGAAGATGTGATCCAAGTTAGTTCTATAACAGACACTGATACGCAAAACAATTCATTGGGGACTACTTTTTTAAGTCATAAGACTAGATAGTGCACAAGCGTATAAACAGGTATTTTTAAAATTAGGATTAATGTTTAGTGAAGTTAATCATAGTCTACTTTTAGCATCGTGCCTTACTATCCAATACAAAAGTTCCATTAAAAATAAGGACGAAGCAAAGGGCAGGAATGGAGAGTCCGATGCACTTTACTACCGATTCAAAGACTTCGTAATTTCGTTGGGTTCGGCTCTCGGAGGTACAAGCGGTGGGGTTAAAGTCCTCATCTTATCTTCTGTAGCTTTGTCCAAACTAGGATCAGGTGGACTATCCCATAAAAGTGAAGCGTAACGAATTGCTCCTTCGTAGGATCTACGCCCTACTGGAGGTTGTGGGGTCGCATCCAGCATCGCATATTCGTCCTCGGCCGATAAAACTTCAACTTGGACAGCGTTTGAAGGTACTTCTCCATAAATTTCGTTGCTAATAGCCTCAATTCTTCCAGTTCTGTCATCACTTTTCGAATACCTTGGTGGTTGTTTCCTACACTTAGTCACGATACTTGATAGATCAATTTTCGATCCCCTATGTAGGAAAAGGAATGTCAGGCCTGTCTCATTACTTTTAATCTCGTTTCTCCAATAATTTAGTGTCTTTTCATCAGGACGAAAATTTGGTATGGCGCCAGGCGCTTGGAGTTTTGGATGAAAATATGTATGCAGTACGCAGCAAGTTTATCCAAGCCCAAGTAATGCAATAACGCTAGCAATTATTGTGGTTTAGGACAGATGTTTTAATTATGATGTTCGGTTGGAGGGAGCCAAATCGTGAAGCAAATTACCCTTCACCTCTGGCACAACGTGCGACTAGATTGACCACTACTTTTTAATGATCTATTTGGTTTAGCTTGCGGTTGGGTGTGGACACCACATGCTGGCGTCGTTCGGTTTTCGCTAATTATGTTTGTGTGATTCAAAAATTTTATCTCACGGCATCCTATCCTAGAGCAGTTTAGGATGGCAATTGTTTAAGGCTTCTGGATCCCAGGATTACTAAAGCCAAAATTGTGGAATGTTTTAGCGATCGCTTGGGGACAATCTTCATCCACTGGAGTTATAATTTTGTTCAAATAGCAGCATTGTTTCATATTCCAATTTGGCCTACACGTTGTGCATAAGTTAGAAGGTATTCTCCAGCATTATTCACTAGTTTCTCCCCGTTGAATCAATGGCTCTTGAATTTGAACCAAAACACTGGCCTTTGCCTTTGAGTGCACTCCTCTTCTAATCAGCTTATTTGATCTATTGCATTGGCACAGACGGACAAAAGAGTTTTAAGCAATGAAATGGGTAGATGCTTTTACAGACACAAAGCAGCAATGAGGGTCACCTCACGCTTTTTGCCTCAAGTCAGCCGGAATGAAGATAACCCTGGATAATACCCAGAAGCACTGAAATTTGAAGTGACAATGATGCAATGATTGAAAGTGCACAGAAAAATCACTGTAAACTCACCATCGGGTTCTCCGAATGACTATCACGAAAATGGCCACCATAACCAAAGCAAGTAGGATTACGGTTACAGCTACGACGACAGCTGTATACTAAAGTGATACAGTGAACAATGAGCATCTTTCTAGGGATAAACAAGGAGAAACTTTGTCCAACAACGTGGCCTACGTCTGCTTCTTCGCAGTGCTGTCCCTTCCATCCGCTAGAACAGAGGCATGTGTAGCCGAACTCGGTGGGATTGTCCTGACAAACGCCACCATTTTGACAAATCTCAGTGCTGGAGTTGGTACCACTGGTAAGTAATTCCTTCTCCCACTCGCAAGCCGAGCGTCTTTGATCACAAGTCGGACCGTACCAAAACCCCTTGCACTCGCACAGGAATTGCTCGAGTTGGGGCCCAGCCTTGGTGCAAACACCGTCGTTATGACAAGGGGATGGGTAGCATGGATCCTGCACTTTATAGCACTCTGGACCTTAACAAAAGTGCACTGTTAAAAGGTTGTTTGGATGCTTCTTGCATTATCAAAACATGTAGTTCATCGAAGTTAAAAGCATTTTGTAAGAGCTTTACTTAGCGTCAATAATTAATCATGTAGGAGAAAACACTCTGCTGTAGGCAAGGCTTACCACTGCCACCGTTACAATGGCAAACGCGTCCCTCTTCGTCGTCCGTATTAGAACAAGTTGCGTATGGTGCACAGGGCTTCAAAAAGCAGTTATCCACTTTGTGACAGAATTCTCCGTACCAACCTATCATTTATTAGTAAAATACGAAGACAATGATCGCTTACACCGAATCGACTTCAATTCTTACTATAAAAATCGCCCATACTTATGATCAGCTACACCCCTCCTTCAACCTGCCTCCACAGTTCTTTCCGATGAGAAGGAATTTTTCGTGTAAGACTACGCAATCTTTGCGTACGATCACTCTAAAGTTACAATAACAGTAGACACCTTTATACTACATTGCATATGAGATTGCGTGAAAGCATTGACGCCCCATGTTCAGGTTCAAGTGACAAACTCTGGACTAGGGATTCCACTAGCAATGCACGCTACTCAACTTCGGGACCTTATCAATGCATTTATATTTTAAAGGGAACACCGCACTCAAGCCTACAAACGGATACCTCGAGTTGACCCGGAGGCGGCGCCTGCGGTTCTGTTCATGCAGCAATTCATTAAACTTAAACATTTAAATCAGTTTTAGCAGTTATAAAAGCAGTTACGGGACGCATTTTTTATACAAACAAAAAGGAAAGGAATGGTTTATGCAAGACTACTTACTTTAAATGGGAGCATTTTTAAATGATGGATCAAATCATCATTTATAAATGTTTTCTAGGCAAATGCACCAATGATTGCGTGGCACAGTAATAAAGGCCGCCTCATTTATAAATTAAAAAGAATTTCCAAAGATACAAGAAACTGTGCTCCCCACTCTTAGAGTTTCGCATTGCATGAGTGAAATCAGTTCTCCCTGTTGCTGATTTATTATGTGGTTTTCAATGCCTAAGAAAGGTAAGACTACGATGTGTCAGGTGCATTTCTTGCTTGGGAATTTTCAAGCAAGATCTGATTATTTTCTAGGCATCCATGTTAGCTTAACCCGTCTTGGTTGTAGGTGAGAATGGGGGTTCGCTGACCTGGAATGCATATGCGTTCACCCTTTTCTCCACAATAGAAGGACTTGTAATCGGGTTTGCAGTAAGTTTCGCATTGTTCACCATAATAATGGGGAGAACATGTGAGCTTAACCGATGCGTCGATTCTAAAATGAAATGAATTGGGAATTAAGCATTCCCAAAATTGTACAGTAATGTTCGCACCACATCACACATAACCATCCCTTCCTTAAACCTTTCGGTGCTTACATACTAAATAAAGCGTTTTATCTTTAAAATATCGAAGGAACATATGCAGTGAAACATCGAAAAGGCGGTGTTCTGTCACTCTCAAGAGCATTTAACTAACTCCATTAAACTTGTAGTGCATCGAAATAGTTAAAAGGATTTGATCTGACTTCAATTTCACCTTGATTCCTCGGCGTTGAATTCAATATGCATCAGGGGACAACATGAAACTTTCCTTTGGTAATCCACTGGTCCGTCTTTTGAGGAAAGTAATAAATTGAGGACTGTCTTGTGCTCAAGGAAAGGGTCGTGTGCCAAGTATTTAAAAACGCTATGCGTCCTCCACACACTCACTTTGGGCAATGCTAGGTGTATGAATGTGCACAAAATCCATCAAGTTGCTTGTGCATGAGAGCATTGCAGTGGAAGAGCACAGATACTAGCAATTTAACAAAATGAAAAGCCTATTTTTAGGAAGAATTGGCATCTCCTCAAGTTTCCTCCAATCGAATCCTTCCATGAGCGTTAGTTAACAGTGCTTGCGATCTCACTCAACCTCTACCATTGCCACTGGGCAGGTGTGGTGGTGAAGGTGAGATGAGATTTACTGTAGAATCACATTAGATTAATATTATATTTGTTGGATTGTGAACAAAGTGTCATGAGCTAAAAAGTGCTTAGGAAGCGGATATTGTGGTTCCAAATCGTTTTCCAACAATAAGTGTGGATGATATGCAGCGTATAAAACACTATCACGTCGGTCAAACGACGTGCTTGATTGATTTGTAATAAATGCTCGAAGACAGACTGGCATGCAATCAACGAAGTTATTTGGAGTCACTGATAAGCTTTCAAGCCAAATGACTCAGCCTCTTCTCCAAGTTCGGATTAAATGCAGGTGTGAAAAGGAGTCAACTAATCGAAACCCTGATTAAGCGATCCCAGATTTGTCATCTTGACAAATCATTTCAACTGCAGCATTGAAAGGAAGTGCTGTATTTCGATCTACGAGGCGCAATTAAATAATGAACCTACCTCACTTCTGTGTTGTAAGACGTTTCTTCTTCCTTCGATAGTCCAACGCTATTAAAGCCAGTGTGACTTGAAATCGGTACCGCGGTGGAGACAAACCTCGCGATGAGGTCATCTGAGGTAGAGAGATCTGAATCCCAGGCCTCAATGCGCATTGCGATCGACTTCTTCCGAGTTATGAGTAAAGCAAAAAAGATGGCATCAACTCGGCAAAAAAGAAATAAACTTCGAGGAGGGCAGAGTGAAGTAGCAATAGGCTTACTGGTATGCCCTTAGAGAGAGGGAGTTCAACCATTTCGTTTATTCTCGATTGCGAACCAATCACAGACGTCTTCTTCATGGCTACGTTGCACTCGTTTGGAGAGCTTAATTGTTAAGAGACAATACTTTACTGCGCTCATATTTAACAGGTTAGTTAGAAAAGTTGGAAAAAACTTGTGCTGTGGGAAGGTGTGGATCATTATGCGGTTCACCCATTGTCAAGCAGTGTGACCTTAGCCGTTGTTATAAATACTCTTAGTCGTAGTTTTAACAATTATGTACCTTAGTAAAGTTTAAACATTTTGCCATGCGATACTCGAATTTATGCAAGATTATTTGTAAAGCCACAACTTGGCGCAGTAGTAGCTGTTTGAAGCACTGTGCCAAATCATGACGTCAGGGTAGAGAAGGAATTGCCTCCTGCGCGTAATGTTCGAGCTGAACGTAAGGATGCAGATTAAGAAAAATTGGTGTGAAAGTCGATTCGTTTATTGTCTTACTGCTTGGAAATGCATGCACCACGACTAGCGCCCACCAAGAGTAACTCCGCATTAAATACGGCGGATAAGAAATTTGGGCTTCACACGCGTGTACCACCCGAGAGGCCTCAAAATAAACAATAAACAGAGGTATGGACAACTGACGCTTACTTTCGATTGTTTGCGATAAAGGCTAAAATCCTTCACCACACATAAATGTTAACTTTCCAAAGCACGGCATTAAAGAGAGTGCGAGATGTGTGTTTTTGTTTGTGTTGTTTTAAACAAATTTTGAACAATTAGAGAAACCAAAAAGCATTATGATTCGACGTCGCCTAAATAACGCACTTCAGCGTTGATACTGGTTTACAGCCCCTAATGAATAACTGATGCTTTCACTAAGGTTTGCCTTTATCCCGTAAATATGCAACAAATGACTTGGGACCTACAACTCACCTCGAATCTGCACTCCATATGCAGATAGCAAAGTAGACATCGCATGTGCGTGCGAAGAAATCGCACCAACCCCAGCTGGAGTAGTGACCCGGGTTCACATAAGTTAATTCTAACTCGAGTTTACCAGGTACCTTCTGGTAGTAAAAGAAGGTAACCATCAGTAACATTGTTAAGTTCATTAAAACAGGTTAAAGTAACATTAAGAGGGTTCCTATACCATGTCGCAGCAAATATATGTGCAAGCGTTAAGAAAACTTCATCACTTTCCAAACGCCTCGATGGCACGAAATAGTCATAAAAGGACTTTACACAAAGAAACAAAGTGCCTTTTTGGGTAAACAGCTCTTAGCACATGGTCATTGCTATTGCAACTACTTATTAAGCGTTTTTCCCACCATAGACGATCGTCCTATGTAAACAGATAGCAGACAACTTAAAGTTAAGTTTTACGCATCAATTGTCTGAATGCCAAAAGTTGGCCGTAATCGTAGGGTCTTACCGTTAAATAACTTTTACAGTTGCAAAAGTTCACGTAAAGAAGGAGAATTGTCACTATAAATTGCATCTCAGTTCCATTTATGGAGGGTCGCAGTTATAGTTTTTGGCAAAATAGCCAAACGTTAGAATAAATTTGTGAAAATCAAAAGCGGTTAATCAAGTCGCAGCGGACCAATGAAATTCGCCTACGGTGTCACCGCAACCAATAAACCATCGAGTCTACGAGGGCGACGTGCTTGCACCTCGCATCGTCAACATCGTATTCCAACAGCTGTTTATGTTAAAGCAGGGCCAATGCGGAGGCACCCTAAGGAATCACTTAGTTTGCAGTCTTTTTAAGATCTGATCAGCTCGTCAATAGGTTTAACTCAGGCTGCACATTTAAGGATGCATTAGTTTGAGAGGTGAGAAAAGTGATTACAGTCGAGTGCTTCTGTGTGAACAGAGCAAATTTGTTTAGCAATCACGCTAACGCTGGTTTGAACCATTAACCAAGCTCCTACTTTAAATGTTCATTCCAATAAAAAAATTCAAAACACAAAACAGTAAGTAGTGTTTTGGGATTGATGTACTTTAATAAAATAGTTAAACTTAATTTTTGAATGGCATTTAACGTTTACAGCTAGCACCATAATGCCTCTCCAGCTTAATAACATTTGACTAATTGGCGATGCTGCGATTTCGGGTTCACTCATGATGTGTGGGATCAAACTGACCAGTTTCATATTCCTATGTCAATCACACTTAAAAGCAACTCATTTCCATTTTGTGCTTAACAGGAATGCAGCAATTGCAAACTGTTTTTTTCAAAAGCAGACATCGTGTTCTTTAGTTGGTCGGTAATTGCTCCCATCTTCTTCCATAAATCCGCCTTACATACAGCTTTCATTAAGCAGCTTATCAAAGCAATGAGTCGTGAGCCAATCCTTGATCTTGATAGAAAAATGAAAAGTTGGCTTTTACTCTCATGTAACTATATTCAATCACTTTGCTTCCAGGCTTGGTGAATGGAAAGGTGGGCACAACTTTGACGTCTACTGCTAGGATCTGCGACAGGTTGCATAGATTTCGGTGAACAACATAACATTTATTCTCTAATGAATGTAATCCTGCTTACTAATCCCGATATTACCTACATAAATAGCACCTCAGGATCGGTCGTGTCGGTTGACACCTTCATGCCACGCATGCGCACACGCGCGCACCCCATGCAGCACTGGGCACCGATGGCCTGGCTTTGTGTTTACGCCAGACGCGATTACAGCATAAACACTGCCTCTACTCCGTCCCGGTGGATAAACACTCATTAATGCCATGCCTTGGTGGCACACGCACACATACATGTGCATGCGGTTCCCTAAAATTCATTTCAACAAAATCCCTACTAGGCTAAAAGCGTTGCTCAAACATCTAATACTGAAAAGTTCATGTTTTTCTCGCTACCTCCTAGTATTATATGTCAAAATGCTTTTATGCAAATATGAAGTCGCAATCCCACATTCCCAATTGTACTTCTTCTGAGTACAATGCACGACTAGGTGCCACTTGAAA